TAAATAAAATAAAATAAAGAACAAGACACCAAGTGCATTTTATGTTTATAGGTTGTTACTTGAATTCCGTAAAGCGGTTAGTTTCAGTTATATAATTCTGAACGGATTTTATAAGGTTTTCATTGTCTAAAGGAGATAAATCGTCATTGCCGTGAAGTATAGTATATATGCTGAGGTGGTTAAGGACAAAGTATCTCCTCGATGAAGTTTCACATTGTTTTGTCACTGAACAACACGCTCCATGCTGTTGCTACCGAGATCATAATATATAGATCTTATCTATTTTATGACTTGTGTTGTAATACGAGTGTGAAAGGAAACGATTATTCATACAATAATATGAGAAAATATACCAATCACGAATTAAACGCATATGATTTGCACACCACCATATGATTTTAGAGCCTCACGTTAGTGACTTACATTCATATCGTTCTTTCAACACATTTTCGCTTCATGGATGACAACGTCTATATTATATAGGATGCGGCGTTTCAGTATAGATTATTATACCGTTGTCAAGCGAGACTGAGGTGCTGTAGCAGACTTATATATACATCAACATGGATTAAGCAGTTCAAATCCGCGGACACAAGCCCTCCATCAACAGAGATGAAGGATATCTCATCCCATCTGCATACAATGAACTGATAGCAACAACTTAGCAGAGCATTCCAGCCATGTATATTTTCTACCTCTTGGACATTTGACTTCCCCCTGTTGTCACTGCTTTATTACCCTATCCTATAGTTGTTGCTGTTAATCCCTTTGATGCACGCCTACATGTTGTTTTACTTATTCCCTGTAAAGTCTGATCTGTGCAAAGAGTGGGCACCTGCTCCTTTTGATAATTATGATTACCCCCTCTCTAATAGAGTTTTGTCATTTGCAATGAATTATAATAACCCTTATCGTAGATTACCCAGCAACATATGTTTGCTTGGACACTGAGCCGTTGCCTACCTTTTCCTGTACCACATAAAATCTGCATGGTATGCCGGTTAATATTGTTATTTGAAATCGGCAGACAGTGCACACCTGTTGTTGCTGCGGGACAATGAATATTTCCGATACGACATTGTAAGTACTTGGGGGTGCAGACATATGACTTAAATATGTTTGCGCATGCTGCTTAATATCATATTTGTGTAATACCACAATATACATGGATAAACTATCAAACTATGCATCGTTTAGAAAAAAGGTATTTTGAATACATGAAAGAGAATATTTATAAAGTTATAACTTGTGAAATTTAATTGTGCGGACCCAATGTATGTTTCATTACAAAGTTCTCTGTTAATGTCTTCCTACAATCAACAAAATATCATCATCTGGTGTTTAACTGAACCGATAAAACCTACTGGATAGACTGACTGACTGACTGAGTTTGGTTTTACGCCGCTTTTAGCAATATTCCAGCAACATCACGGCTGGGGACACCAGAAATGGGCTTCACACATTGTACCCATGCGGGGATTCGAACCCTACTGGATAGAACCCAAAAGACGTGTATTGTCCATGCGGCACCACCCGACATTGTTTTGGTGTTTTCCCCTGAGTGGCCGCTCTCTGGATTACGCAATTGTTAATTGCTGTGGCCACCTGGGACAACCGAACCGGGACGGTGGCCGCTTGTAGGGACAGCCCCATAAACAACAAATTATCAGGTGTGAAAACAATTAGATTTTCTCGGGTATTGTCACTTTGAACAGTGATACATTGTCGCTTATGTATTGTTTATCATCTCAGTTCGGTACGCTGGTCATGTTGAGCGTGTTGATGGAGGCATTTCTAGGAATATGTAAATGATCAAATATTGTTATTATGTATCTAGTATGTGTCCAAACATATTGGATGCATTTATATTTATAGGAAAAGACTGAGGGTTTTTCATGTTGTTCAGAATATATGCTAATAATAGGCGTTCAATGATTTGAATACATGAATTAATTCACCTAAACTATATACAATGTATATATAGAGAGATGATATATATGCCAGGGTAGAGATTGCAAGCGGAGTCTGTACTGGTAGAAACTTATTATATAGAATAACCTATGCAAGTGTTGTTTGCCTACAGAACAATCAGGGTTTCTACCAGTTGAATTGGAAATTGTACTGGTAGAATCGGATCTGACATGTAGGATCCGATTTCAATCTCTACTAGTAGGATACGGTGTCCTCCCATTTGTGAGAACTCCCAGTTGTGAGACACATTAATTAATGGTTCAGTGCACACAGGTGGTGCTTCCCCATCCCTACGATGAAAGTGGGAACAGCCCTGTTGTTGAACAGCCCTGTTATTGAAGAGTACCCGCAGGAGGCATAGTTCATTAATGAGTTAATTGACACAGAAGACATTGTTCGTTGAAGAGCATTTATTGTTTTCAATAGATACTGAATTACTGAAAAAGATTATCCTGAACTGGTGATATATTCTACTTGTTGAAGGCCTGCCATAATGGTGATCGGAAAGAGCAGTCAAAGGTTAATAAATACATTTGGATTAATTATTGTTACAACAGTTATTGCTAGATTTTTCAAACACGTAAATTTGAGTAGGTAAATTAATTTCTCTTTCAAATGATCACGAAGTTACCTACACAAAGTGTTTATTTTTTAAAGCCATTTATCTGAGTAGGTTAATTACTTTATCTTTTAGAGTTTCATTAAGTTACCTCCACAAGATTCAGTTAAATAGCTAATCCATAATTAGCTGGGGTTAATCCATTCTATCAGATAGGGGAGTAAGGTGTGTTTTCTTTCCTAAGTACCTACTCCAATGTCTCACAACTGGGAGTCTCACAACTGGAAGTTCTCACAATGGGAGTAGACCGTAGGATACTGGTAAAGACTGCGAAGTCTCTGCTGGTAGAATCTCCGATCAGATCGCAATCTCAACCCTGAAAAATATTTATATATATATATAGGACACAGATCCGAGAGGATCTATCTCTGAAACATTTGGCAACAGGGCTCATGTCTAACATGAAATGACTGTAACTTCGTCCAGTGAAACTCATGTTATACAGAACGTGAATAAAAGATGTATAAAAAAATCACCATATTATTTTTATTTTCATTTCGTCTTGATAAGATGTTAAAATATGCCTTGTAAGATTTGTGCGGCGATCTACTTCTGGGAACCATTATCCCCTCCAACTTGAAGTTGTTTACAGGAGAAAGTAACATCATTTAAATAAAGTCCATATTGAATTATCCTAAAATGGTGTCTAATATTTTTCAATTAAGATAATTCTGGTAGTGAAATAAATAATTCTGCCAGAAATTTCTGCGGGAAAAAAAATTCTGCCAGAAATTTCTGCGGAAAAAAATAATTCTGCCAGTAATTTCTGCAGAAATGCATTTTCAGAGCCCATTTGTGAGCTTATGAACACGTGAGCGCACTGGCACATGAATTTTTTGAGTTCATCTCCTCGAGATCTTTCCAATGATATAAAATATGTCTTTGTAGCTCGCTTCCTTCTATGTGTCAAGTTAGGACTCGCTGGCCATTCCCAAGTTGTCCCACCCGGGAATTTGTATTATTTTTACGGAACTGTTTTGGTGAATAATCGTATGAATGAATATTGCTATAAGCCGCACCTGCAATTTTCCAGCTATTCGCGGCGAGAGATCTAGACTTTATGTTACACTTTAAACGTAATGTTGAAAATCGCATAAGTTTCATTCAAATATCACATTTAAGGGTAAAAACTGACTTGAAATTAAAATGTATAATTTCATATCTTTTAAATATGCTAAAGTCACGTGTTTTGAAATTGTTCTAAAATGCTCAGAGAAGGTAGGGCTGGAATATTGTTGAGTGCAGGGTAAAACTAAACTCAGTCACTCACTCACTCATAGAGAAACGGTGTCTGATATGTGCAAGGTCCACACATTCAAGTAACATGTGATTACTACTAACTGGTCCATGGCATGGGGTTCATTGAGGTGAATCTTCTCCATTCAATAAGAAACCAAATTTTGTACAGTAATTGTGTCCTATGTCACAACTATTACCAATTCATCTTGACGAGCAGGTCCAGTTAATGGATTCTGTTCTCTGTTTGACTTAATGGAATGACGCTCATTTGTCACTTGGTGATTCCAACTCTTCTACACTGTAAAAAATAGTGTTAGGCATTAACGCGTTAATATGTTAAATATTTAACACCTCCGTTTATACGGAAACCTCAGGTGTTGATTTGCCAACGCCTTGATGTTAATCATATAACACAGGCGTTAATGTGTGGTAGCCTATGTACATCTTCAAACAATGTCAATGCACAGCGATGAGTACGATAGATCTTGTTGTTAATGAAAATGTGTATCATATTAGATATGGTAATGTGTTCGAAATATTTAAAAATAACTAATCTTACCTCAGACATTTTGGTTAAATGTGCTGTACAGCTGGAAAGTTGGTCTAAAGTTATTGCCCCCCTAACTAATCTAATTACAATAACATTGGGCTAAATGGAATAAGATGTCGTACTCCTTGTTTTACACATACACGTTATATTACTTGCATACAAGTACGACTTACGTAATATTATTAACATCAGTGTTCATTTATTTACACCAGTGTTAATATATCTCTCTTCTTTATTAACATTATAGTGTTAATCTGTCAACGCAAGCGTGCCTCGATACATTTTGGCGCCAATGAATGGTGATCGAGGCAATCGCTGTATCTCTACCGGCCTCATATTACATGATACCTAGACATTCTTTAGATATCTTCAAATGGATGTCAGCATGTTCAAAACGCAGTGATTTCAATGCGAATATCGTCTGTCAACTCGCGCGATCGTAGCCTAAAGACGTAAACGCTTTGATGAGGCAATAAGTTATTTTTAGAATGTGGCGTGCCAGTTCGCTAAAAAGTAGGGAAAAGTGGTAACCCACACACGGGATATATTAATATCATTTTCATTATTTCCATGAAAAATAGGTATCACTTATTGAGACAGGACATTAAGTTTGTATGTAACATGACATTGACAAATGAACCAAGGGAGGTAACTCTACGGCAACAGTGCCGTCATCTTCCAAAAGTGCCGCCAAACGTCATCTACGGGGTTTACACATTCCACTGCACGATCCTCGCCATTTTTAGAAGACTGGGCAAGCTGACGTTGTCATTATTCTCCCCAGGTAAGCGCTATGCGAAAATATAGTACACACATTGATGACATTGCAAAGATAATGTTCACATATTAATGTTTACATGTTGTATTGATGCTGGAAGTCTAAGATCATGGGTAAACAGTGAGTCATAACCTAGACTGGGCAACCACATAGTCAAGTGGGTGGTGTACGTTTATCTAAAACATCTGAATCAGTGCAACTCCCAGTCAGGTAAACAAAACAATGTTATGAACTTATCCTACTTGGAACTTCAGGTGAGTATTTCAACTCAAATATTTATTGTATCATTGTAGATTTAAATCGAGTATATTGTTCACTGGGAAAATGTAATTCAATATTCTTGACAGGAACCGAGAAATTGACCTGTCTGACTTTCTGGAATTATGATTTACAAACAATAAGATGAGAGAAATAAATACATTCGAACATCATTACATTTCCATTATGGTTCTGACCTAACCTAAATGTGGTCTTCAGGTTCCCACTTACTTCCACATTAAGTGACATGATACTTTCATTTTGTTTCAGTAGATCTCTCAAGCCGCAGTCTACTGTCTGCGCTGCCAACACCAGACAGGATCCCCCTTCCTGATCTTGCACCTACTATGATTGCAGCCCTTCAAGCAGGTGAAAGGAGCAGCCAGATTTTTAACTCTGTATTGAAGCAGTGTGAAACAGTTTACACAACTGTTTATCCATCAATGTCATCTTCACCATACTATCAATCAATCGTCAGGAGGATGGTGGCAAAATATCCTTCATTGGCCTATGCACATGGCAAGACACTTTGGGTAAGTTTGAGTTGGCTTCAGTTTATATCTCTTATTCAGTGATGTAGTGTCAAAGTGCATACATACTGATAGTTCACATATCCCAAGTACTCGACTTTTACCAATTTCAACATATATGGCTCTTGTATTACAGAATTTGATATTGTGTGATTCTTTTTGTTTTATCACAGAGTAATTATTTTCAGATAATGTTTTTGGTTGAACTGCATATGATTTAGAATTAGGTACTCTTCTGTTAGATTTCAGTAAGAGCTTGTGATTTAAAAGCACTCTTGTCTGAATGTTCTTTTCTTAAATAAATGCATGAGACTCAATACCCCCCAAATTGTGAATTCGTATAAAGGTAAAGTCAATATTATCTGTTTGCTATAACCAAGAAACACACTCCTTCCTTCTAATCGGAGGTTAAAAACAAACTCTCCTATTGTGTCTTTTCAGAGCTTTTTTGTGTCCAAATTGAGTCAGCGATGCCGCACCAATAGATTTCAAAACAATGCAAAATCAACAAGACCTGCGCCTAAGGATTCTGAAGATGCACAACCTCAGAAGTTGTTCAAGATGGCTAATAAATCATCAGGTGTGACATCAGAGAAAGATTTTGCATCCCATCTTGATGAAATAAAGAAGGAATGGGAAGGAAAGCAATCAATTACTCATCTGCAAACTCTACTAAAACAGACAAGACAATTCCGCAAAGAGTGGCAAACCACCTTGAAGCCTGGGAAGATTGAGCCCATTTTAGAAAAGTTCCCTTGTTTTGAGGAAGGATGCTTTGTAAGTATAAATCATTTGAGCTTATTCAACAGCAAATTTTTGTTTCAAATTTAGTTTCCCTAAAGTACTACCATGGACATCTTCATGTGTCCTTAAACCCTATTTATTATATACGGACATTACAGGTGTACAAAAGTACTTGTACAGTGTTAGCACATTAGTTGATTTATGGTCATTGTTGTTCTAGTGTTAATCTTATATTGAACAAGCAGGCAAGCCCTGTTGCATGTCTTTGTGCCTCTTAATCATTAAATACATTCTAACATACTGTTTCAGTTGGTGTATGAATTCTTTTGCCAACTCAGTGATGATCCAGAGGAAGCGAGGGAAGAAATTGCCAGAAATATAAAATGGATAATGCACACTGTCGTATCTAAAAAAACTGCACCTGATGCATGTATTAATGGCTCCAGAAAACTCAAGATGTATATTTTTTTCAATTTCTTGTTACAAGTTGCTTGTCATATGGCTTATATTATTTAATATCATAATTTAATATGTTTCTATTTAGATATGGTGAACTATCAAAATACTTAACTAATTTCACTAACCCTCTGTGATACCTTAATATGTTAATTAATATTGATTTGATATGGTTATTGTTTCAAACTGGGTTAACATGTAATTGGAAATTTTTATTTCAATAATTATTATTTCAAATTTTCAGGGTACTGATGCTGATAGAAGCATCCAACTGTTCCGGGATTTGTAGAAGCTTGTTTCCAAGCAAAAGGGCAAGGGTTTGAAGTCAAAGACCTGCATTACCATAGTCAATGTAAGATTTTTTGAAAATGATGTTCTACTGTAAGTATTGTTACACTTGAAAACTGGTTTTACTTCATTCCTGAAGTAAGTGCTTATGATCAGCTTTATGACAAATGGAAATGCATTAGACTGCAAGGACAGGTGATACCTTTATGATAAAGATATATTTAAGATATTTTTTATTTGCAAATAGCAGTATAGTTAAGAATAGATGTTTCATTTACTTAATGCTGTTGTGAGATCAACTTGTAAACTTACAATATTTAGCCGTAACAAAAATGTTATTTTATGTTAACAGGATGTGAAGAGTGTGGAAACAGTTCCTCAAAAACATCTGCACAGCCAAGTGGAAGAGGCTCCTCATCTTGTGGTCTTCCTTGACAGCTCAAAACACATCCTATGCCAGTACATTGTGGAAGAGGCTCCTCATCTTGTGGTCTTTCTTGACAGCTCAAAACACATCCTATGCCAGTACATTGTGGGAGAGGCTCCTCATCTTGTGGTGTTCCTGGACAGCTCAAAACACATCCTATGCCAGTACATTGTGGAAGAGGCTCCTCATCTTGTGGTCTTTCTTGACAGCTCAAAACACATCCTATGCCAGTACATTGTGGAAGAGGCTCATCTTGTGGTCTTCCTTGACAGCTCAAAACACATCCTATGCCAGTACATTGTGAAGAGGCTCCTCATCTTGTGGTCTTCCTTGACAGCTCAAAACACATCCTATGCCAGTACATTGTGGGAGAGGCTCCTCATCTTGTGGTCTTCCTTGACAGCTCAAAACACATCCTATGCCAATTCATTGTAGGAGACAATGTAAAGATTTTTCTTCAAACACAGTCATTGTTTGATGCAGTGATCAGTCTCCTTGGGAGTTACTATGTTTTGATTTGGAGTACCCCCTGCATATTGCCAGGTTCTTGGTCTGCTACAGCACTGGGTTGTATCTGACATATTTACTGGATCAAGGACATCCAATTGGATAAAGTTCAGTGATGAACTGACAAGATCCAAAGATAAACACTGAGATATTAGAATGTTTCCCAATCAAGCTTTGAACTTTCAAAAAATCTTTTTGGTAGTAATGCAGCAATGTATACCATTCTTTTATCCAATGGCATGATATTTCTCTAATAATATGTTAAAACAAAAGGTAAAAAAGTCAGTTATACCAGGGAACATCCCAAGGAGACCTTTGTGAAAGGAAACAGACTGATTCTTCCTTTAGTTTTCATTACAATGATGTTGTCTATTTCAAGTTTATGCAAACTGCTGATATTCTCAAGAGAAAGATTATTATACAAATTATGAAAGCCAAACTTTTTCAAAGACCATTCATAGTACCTATTGTTCATTCTGTTAAGGCAGACAGAAGTGTTCTTCCTGTTCAAAAGAATTGAATTTCATTTATTGTGCCAAATTGAACTAAACTTCGACCACATCGCCTGTTCTCAATAAACATTATCTTGAACATTAGCCATTGTGACATGATGATCAAATATATAATGATCTTATATATACCCCATAGGGAGTTGTTTTAAGTTTAATCCATTATATTACCCTGCAATCAAAAAGTAAACTTTCGTTCACTCAAGACAAGATTACAATTGTCTGATTTGAACTCTCGCACACTTCAGGAATTTCTGAATTTCGCTCACCTAAGATTAGGAGATGTCCTCCATAATCCCTCATTGTCTAAGGAATAGCACGCTTCATTGCTTTGCCTACCTTAGACAATACCTGATAATTCAGGGAAGTACTTTGCCTATGACAGAGTACAGATTATCCTATTGTTGTGCCAACACATATATTTGGTACTCATTTTTTATTTCTTCACCAAGGTGATTTTGATAACCATCATTAGTGGACCATTAGTTTAGTGATATTATTGTTTGAATGTAGAGGTATGTTGCTTCTATTGTTTACTTTTATACCTGTTTAATGCATAGGATAGTCAAAAACCTCTAAAATTTATTTTTGACATTTTCTTTTCTTTTCATAAGTGGGGGAAAATACTGTTATTTTGATACTATTCTAAAAATGCAGTTTTGAAGAATTACTAATGATCTGCCTGGGAACATGTGTCCTGATATGACCATGAAGATTGAACTTTTTTATGCTCTAATGCTCAAATGGAGAAAGAGAATAGTTTAATTTCAAGCTTTATTTGGCACTGTCTACCTTGTAATGTATAACGATGGCTTTAAACAAAGCAGTAGTTTCACTAGTCCTTGGGCTACCTGTATTATTTGACAATTTGGACTGCGCTATAGGACTAGTGCCAATTTTGATCCTATATTCTCAAAAAATGAAAGCACCATAGTATATTTCTGAAGGTGATGCCTACACTGTGCAGCTACTTTAGGTTACAAATAGCAATATTGTTTATATGTGTTGTCAGTGTTGCCCTTATATTGTTCATTGTCTGATAGTTGCAATATGTATTGCAATGTATCAGTTCTTTTCATTAATTAATGTATATATGCATACCATTTTGATACGGTCCCAGCCGTGGAAGGAATGATTATCCTCAAAATACATGCCATTATCCATGTTCTGTTAAAATTCAGTCAAGCGTTCACCATTCTGTTCCTTAAGACTAAAGGATTAACAGTATTACCGGGTTATTTTTGCATTTGCCGTAAATAAATATGCAGTATTGTGAAGGATTCTGTGGACTCCTCATATCTGCCTATGTGCATTGAATGTAACAGTTTGCTCAATTTTTATGAGGATTTGATTTTTTATCCGATGAATAAATTCAATTGAAATTGTGATTGCTGCTTTAATTTATTTGGTTGATTACTATTAGTGGTATTATATCGAACACTGAAACTGTACTAAGTCCTTTTTGCTTTCATATTGATTACACCATAATGAATGTGAAGATAAATCTTTTGTCACTATGTCTTTTTTCATTTGGGAAATTATCACATTCAGTGTAATATCAAGGAGATTAATCAAGTTTCAGGGTTTTCAACAATAGCGGAACTGCATGTCACAATATCTGAAGACAACAGGAATTATTGTAGAGTTAACCATTGATGAAAGTTAATACTTGGATATACATTTCAGCCCACTTGGATATACATTTCAGCCCAACTTTCTCAAAGAAGTAATGTGTGGATCACATTTCTTTGTTACTTTACAATTGTGTTAAATTATTAACACTTACATCCTTATAAACATGTTAATGTGTGAAAAAAGTGTTACCAGCAAGCGTTATCAAATAAACATGTTAATGTGTTAATCTTTTAAACACTTTAACATGTTAATTTACTGTTACCAAGATAGTGTTAATAATAGTGTTAATTCAGTAACACTTGTTTTTACAGTGTATATCTGCTCAAGTTGATGGAGGTCGGTATCATCATTAACTGATGCAGAAGTAGGTATACCATGAACACATTCACCCGGTGGATACCCCACTTCCAAGAATACTACAGACAACAGATAATATATACACTTTCCTTGAAATGGCCTCAAATTACAGTGAAACCTACCAACACCGGCACCTGTCTTATCCGGCACACTGTCAAAACCAAAATTTTGGTCCAGGCATTTTACAGATAGTATGATTATTAAAACATTGTCTAATCTGCCACCTGTCTATTCCGTATTCAGGTTCCCAACTTTCTGGTCCCAACAAGCAATTTTAACTGTAATTAACACTGTCTAAACCGGCAGATGTATGAGACAGGTTCTACTGTATGTAAATATTCTAACTATGAATATGATACATCTTTTTGCTCAGAAGTTAATACGAAACGTGCGAAACATTAAACACTAAAATATTATTTTAATTTTTACATATTTCAAGATGCCATCATACTATAACCAGCCACTTATAATACACTTATACCACTTATAATGCGCGATACTACTTATATTGCCTATGCACTGGGCGCAACTTGCCTCTAAATCAGGCCAAATTGTCTGGGTTCATGACTTACGAAAAGTGCGAAATATTAAACACTAAGTAATGAGTTTTGGTACAGATTTCATGATGCCACCGTACTATAAATAGCCAAAATATGAAAATAATACACTCATCATGTCATACGTTATACCTTTTTCAGCGATACTACTATTGCCTATGCGCTGGGCGATGTGAGTGACTTGCCTCGAAGTCAGGAGGCCAAATTGTCTGGGTTCATGATTTACGAAAAGTGCGAAATATTAAACACTAAGTAATGAGTTTTTAGACAGATTTCAAGATGCCATCGTACTATAAATAGCCAAACTATGAAAATACTACACTTATCATGTCATATGTTATACCTTTTTCAGTGATACTACCATTGCCTATGCGCTGGGCAATGTGAGTGACTTGACACTAAATCAGGCCAAATTGTCTGGGTTCATGACTTACGAAAAGTGCGAAATATTAAACACTAAGTAATGAGTTTTGGTACATATTTCAAGATGCCATCATATTATAAATAGCCAAAAGATGGAAATAATACACTGATCACGACGTAACTTATTAACCTACTTGCGTAACTTATGAACTAACTTGCCTATGCGCTTGGCTCGACTGGCTTTGACAGGCCGACTTTGTTTCAGGTACAGTTAACTACGAACATTAAGAGAGAACAAACTGATCAGCACCAAATTGATGACTTTCCTTTTGGCAACACTATTAATGCCAAAGGGCAGTTCCAGACTTGCTTTGAAATGGCCTACAACTGTTTTGTTAGACGATTTAAGGATACAGAATATCACATACACAAACTACATGCTTGGTAATTCTAGGACGAAGCAAATTACCAATTACTTGATGGTGCACAAAATGTGCATTTTCCACCCATTGCACAAAATGGTCGTTACCTGTGTAATGTTTCGGTGCGTGGGAGTACATTTTGGAAATGAAGAAGTGCCATAATTTAACTACAAAATTTAATACGAGC